ATTGTGCGAGTCGCTCTCCAGGGTGACTCCAGGGGGGGGGGGGGGGCGCGTCGAGCCGCCACCGCGCATGCGGAGGCGAGAGCTTCGTCCGCCGCGGGGCTTATCACTCCGTTTCCTTCTTGCCTGATAGGCCCGTCCTCTCCTTGCAAGGTTTGCAGGCCACTGGCTGCGCCCAAGGGGGCGTCAGGGGAACCGCTCTGTGATGCGCCAGTGCTTGGATCTCGGAAGCCAGGAGTGCCTCGATCGTCCATGGGCGGGTGGTGATCGCTACTCTGGGGGGGCCTCTCGCAGCTGAAGGCTGCAGTTCCTTCGACAGCTAGGGGCGACGCCAGGATCACCTCTTCCAGGGGGGGTCGGGCGGACCCCAAGCAGGGCGCCATCATCCGCTGCCCTCGCAACTGGGGCACCCATGCGGAGGTTGACTCGATTGGCGCCGTGCGCGCCGCGAGGGCCAGGGGCCCTATCGGTGGAGTCAGTGGCATCCTGCTGACTCCAGGCACTGAGATCGGAATTGAAGTCAGTGCCCCCCGTGATGCCGACGCCCGTGGCGTCCGGGCCATCGCGCACAGTCCCTCCAGGAGTGGGAGCCACTGGGGGGGGGCCCTGAGGGTGAAAGGGAAGGGTGGGAGGAATAGAATCGAAGGTGGGGAGCAGAAGGAAAGCGCTGTCTTGACTGCCAGGATTGCCAAGATTACCAGGATTGCGACCGAAGGTCGCTTCTTCTCTTGTATTTGCCGGGCTTCTACTGTGGACCCCATCGTCTCCTCGGCTGAAAGCCGAATTGTCATTCATCCTTTCGCCAGGAGCTGCGGGATCGATCGGCGGATCCGACATAGGATTGTTCGTCATGAGGCTGGTCGGATCTGCTTCAGGACCTGGCGGCGAGGGTTGTCCAGGAGGGATCTGGGACGGGGTGTTTCCAAGGGGAGAGTTGGCTGCTGCCAGTGCTTGGACCCCCAGGTCCTGCACTAGGCTCATGCCCCCGCCCTGTCTTCCCCCAGGATGACCGGCACCACGATCCGAAGTCCCTTCCTCCATAGAGCTAAGCCTGACCTGGCAGGCTGGTGCTGCGCCTCGCCAGGGACTGCGCCGCGAGCAACGCTGGGATATGGCCGCCCGCGGCCCGAGGGAGGCGGCGCCCGCCCAGCGATGCGTCGGGCGCCCCCTTGAGCCTGGGAGACTGGCAAGCGAGTGCCAGGCCCAGGAGAGGGCTTGAGCCAGGCTGCGGGCTGGTGGGGTTACGCGAAGCGTCTAGAAATTAAAAACCCTTCAACAACACGGCGGGAATCCTACGCGTTGGCCTCCGCGAACAGGTCCTCGGGGTCCTCTTGGGCCGTCCCGAGAGCCTCCTGGCCTGACTTGGTCTGTCATCGTGCCCTCTTGGGCGGTCTTGGAGTTCTCTCGGGGTCCTCCTCGGCATCTTGGGGGGCCCTCCAGGGCTTCCTGGGCCCGTTAGTGGGTCCGGCAGGGGCGTCCGGGAGGCCGGGGAACTCCTGGGGGCCCTCTGCACGGGTGTCCAGAGGACCCTGGTGGCCAGGGATCCAATGGGGCCCCTGGGGCCCAGGATCGGGGAGTGTGCTTTAGGGGGAGATGTCGGGAAATACACGCAAAAGAACATGGGAATCTATACGTTTATATATATACACACAAGACTTGCAGCTCGCTGCGCTTCGCTTGGAGGTCTCGGCACGATGCGCCGGCGTAAAGTGTGCGAGTGAAGTGCGACTACGCGGGCTGAAGCGTCGGCGATGGGCAGGGGCGGGGATGGGACGGTCACGGGCGCACGGGCGTCGGCCCATGGAGTGCGCGCGCGCCGTGCGCGCGCGCCGAGTTGGCAAGGGGCGACGCGCGCGACGGTCATCGGCGATGAGACTAGGCGGGGACGCAACGCCGAGGGCAGGGGAAAGGAGAGGGAGGCTTCGGATGAGGTGAATGCAACGAAAAGGGCGCCGGCAACGATGGTGGCCTCATACCTCTGCAGATTTGGGTTGGGAAGGTCACGGGCGGCGACGCCGCGCAGTTTGGTGATGATGTTTTTTTCTCACTGAGTGCAGAGGCGATCCTGGCGCGGTGCTCTGCAAAATCGGAGCGGCGACGAACGCCCCCGAGCCTGCTTTTAAAAAATCGGCGCGTAGCTCAGCGTCCCGGACTTCCCGAGAGGAAGCGTTCGCGCGCCTGGTGTACAAATCTGCGCGGCTGGGTGGGCGGACCCTGGAGGCACCTTGCTTCTTGGACATCTTGGCTGGCTTCTTGGTCACTGGGCCTGTCGGCGTCACCGCTGCAGGGTGCTTGCGGGGCCCGCTGGGCTCTGCCGCGGGCGAAGGGAGCGCTGACGGCACGGCGTCCTGCGTGGGCGTGTTCGGCGCGCACGAGGCCCACGTGATGAACTGAGGGTACTTTTTGTGGAGGTTGTGCAGCGGGGTGAGCAACCTGTCCGGGACGTTACTCGCAACCAAGAAACAGAAATTGTGAAGCTCCTTGACTGTCTTGTCGGTGCCGTCCATCATCTTGAACTGCCTGGTGAGGCTGAGGCGGTTGTTGGTTTTGGCTGAATTGATCTTGAAGCTCGAGTGTTTCTCATTCGCAGGGACCTCAAAGTCGGCCTCGAAGTGGCTGTGCGTGAGTGTCCGCGGTGAACTGTAGGACGTGCTTGTGGGCGGCGGCGGCGGTGCGCGGGTTCAGTCCGAAAGCCACGCGCACGCGCGCCCAGCTCGGATTGGGGTTCCCCTGGCAGAACGCTCGTGCGAAACCGCAGTGGGCGGTCTGAACTCCAAGAGGTGCCGGTGAGACGTCGTGGACGGCGATGGCGTCTTTCCACGACGTGGTGAGTCCATGCGTCTTGCGCTCGGCCCGGAAACAGAGGCTCGCGCCGTCTGCGATGGTGACGCGGATGCCGTTGGACTTGTGTTTGTTGATGTCTAAGAGCTCCACGTGGACGTGCCCAGTGTAGAGGGACACATACTCGCGGTTACCTGGCGCTTGCGCGCCTGCAGCGGGCGACGCTGCTGGGGTCGGGGTGTAGTCGTACGTCGCGTTGGACGTCTTGGGAGCCATCGTGCGAGGAGGCGCGGCCGATGGCTGTTCAACGGATGGGGCGGCGACATCGGGCGTACCCCGGACGCAGCGGACGCTTAAGCCAGATGCTGGCCCAGGACATGGGGATATGTGAAACTGGCCAGGGCATCTCTCGTTCGTCATCTGAGGCGACAGTGGCTGGACATTGAAGTTCAGATCTCTCTCAGGCCAAAACTGCGATTATATCTGAAGCGAAACTGGACGGACCTCCTCGCGCGCGGTACGCCTGAGCTCAAGCATGGGAGGACTTCTTAGGCGAGACTGGCCGGGATTATTTTAGGTGGGGGCATCTCTTATCTCGGAAGTTGCTTGGGTGTCTCAGGCGAATCTGGCTTGGAAGTTGCTGGGGTGTCTCGGCAGTTGCTTGGGTGTCTCGGAGTTGCTTGGACGTTTGCGCCCGCCATCTCTGAGCCACAGTTGGCAGGAGTAATCAAGTGAGACTGGCCAGGCCACCTCAAGTTCATCGGCCTGCGCGCGCGTGGCTTGCATTGTCGTGACCTCCTGTCTTGCTGCAAAGAGAAAATATTCACACTGCCCCATGCCTGCAGTCCGCGGAGCACCTGGTCGGGTCCAGGTGTTTCGAAGCACATCAACGATTTGGGTCTCGTGGGGCCCTCTTCGGAGGCCTCTCGGAGGCCTCTTGGGCGGTATTGGGGGCCTTTGGGCCGTCGTCAAGTCATCATAAGCGTCTTGGGAAGATTATTCTGCGATTTCGGGCCCTTTGGACCGTCTTGGGAAGCCCAACTGGGGGGCCAGAGAACACCCAAGGGACACCTGGGGCCTCCGGGGACTGGCCAGAGAGAGCCCCACGGGCCCCTGGGGCCGCCAGGTTCTCTTGGGGGGGGGGGGGGCGCCCATCCCCGGGGATCTCCTGATGTGAGATAATAAAGATAGGAATACATACATATATATATATATATATATATACGCAGAGGACTGCGCTGGCGCTTCGGGCAATGCACCTTGGTGCTTCAATTCTGGCATGCTGGCGGGGTGATAGAAAGGCAGATGAGTAAACATCGCGTTAACTCCTGGTCGCTGCTTTCGCCATCGTCGTTAGAACACGTCCCTCTTCATTCTCCCTCTCTCATCATCCCTCTTCGTCTTCCTCGTTCTCGTCCTACCCTGTGAGACCTTCCCCGCCCTCCATAATTTTCACACGGAAGACTCTCCTGGGAAAACCTCTTGGGGCCTCACGCTGTCCTTTTATGAGCTTCTGGGGGGCCTCTGGAAACCTCCTCCTGGGCGCCTTGCTGAGGCCTCTGGGAGCTTCTTCGCGCCACCATGCTGCGAACCACGGTCTCCCTCAACGACCGGGTCACGATTCTGAGTGCTTCGGTGGGCGTCCTAGAGCAACCTTGGGCCGTTATGGGGCTCCCTTCGTACCATCTTTAGGCGCTATTGGGCCGTCTTGGGGCTCTCTTGGACTGTCTGGATTCTCTTCAGTGTCGTTTTGAAGCGATGTTCGAGGCCTCCTAAGCGGTCTCGGTCGCCTAGAAGACCGAAGAGCAGAGCATCAACACATCACACAAAAACTAAGGGAAATCAATGCTTGTTGCATTTACTGCCTCTTGAGTGTTCTCTGGGTAGGCTGGATGGCCCCCTGCAAGGGCGTCCGCGGCGAGAGAGTCCCGAGGCCAGGGATCCGGGGGATCCGTTCATGGGGGGCACACTTTTCTACGGCTTCGGATCTGTACAAATATGTTTGGGAATGGGTGGAAAGAGAGAGAGAGAGAGAGAGAGAGAGAGAGAGAAACAAAAAAAATCAGAGAGAGGGAGCGAGAGAGAGAGAGAGAGACAGAGACAGAGAGAGGGAGAGTGAGACAAAGAGAGAGAGAGAGAGAGAGAGATAGACAGGGAAACAAGGCATCAGCGAACAAAGCAGACGCAAACCGCACAACACAATCATGCAATCCACACGGGTC